CTCTCTAGGTTTTTTTTAATAAATCTTTCCATTTCCTCCTTCTCCTTTGGGCTCATGGAGTACAATCTGGGCTTCGGGAGTTTTGCCCCAGGCTTGAATTCAATGGTACAGTCTGTGGGTCGGTGGGGGGGAAGCTCATTCGCCCTCTCCTCACTGAAGACTTCAGCAAAGTCTCTATATTCCTCTGGTATTTCTGTTAATCTTTTTTCCTCTCCTATGGATGCTTTTTCTATTCTTGATTCTGGTAGCCTCCCTTGAGGTTTTAAGTCCATAGGGTCCCCCTTCGGGAATTTGATTTCTGTCATCCTCCAATTTACCCAGGGGTTCCATTTTTTCAACCATTCCATCCCTAGAATCATTGGGCATTCCATGCCTGGAGTCACCACAAACGTTATGTCCTCTTCATGTTTGCCCAGGGAGAGGTGTATTGGTAGAGTGGCTAGGGTAGCTGGCACCCCCCCTGCTATGGATCCATCTACCTGGCCAAATGAGATTGGTTGTTCCAGTCTCCTGGATGGGATGCCCAGATTCCCCACTAGTGTTGGGCTAATGAGGCAGCGGGTGCAGCCAGAGTCTATTAAGGCTTTTACCTTCACAGCTTCGGGCATGGGGGGGATTAATATAGTCACTGTTTTGAAGATGGGTGTGATGCATCCACTTACCAGGGGTTCGCCCTCCGAGCTGTCATCTGAGGCATCCACCGGCCCTGTGGTGTAGGCTGGAGTCCTTTCCCCCTGGTGAGCAGAGGTGGGGGTTTCTGCAATTTCCATCATTCTCATAGCCGTTTCTTTTGGCTTAGCTGAATACTTTCCGGGTTTGTTGATTGGGGATCTGTCTGGGTTGTGCTGGGGGGGCCTTTGAGCGGCATTCTACAGCTCGATGCCCTTCTCTTCCGCACTTGAAACACCCCATTTGCTTCTGGGCTGTAGCCGATGATTTCACCGGTTCGTGTGTCAGCTCAGGCGGGGGGCGGCTCCATTGTTTTCCTCGGCGGTGTCTCTTCAATATGTCGATCTCTGCTTCCTCTGCCAAGACGTACCATTCCTCAAGTTGGTGTGGGTCCCCTCGGGGCAGGCAAGCATCATATAGATCATAGTTTAGTCCGTCTTTGAAATGGCCAAGGAGGATGTCTTCTGGCCAATTCAGTTTGCTGGCAATGGCCCGGAATTCTTGTGTATATTCAGCCACCGGGTGTTTGCCTTGCCTCATCGTTTTTATCCTTTCACGGGCGTTGCGATCAGCCAGGGGGTCTTCAAATCGTCTTCTCAAAGAGGACATGAAACGGTTGAAGTTTCTGAGTTCTGGGGCATTGGAGTCATGCAAGTTCACCACCCAATCTGCAGCCGGTCCATCCAGGGCAGATTGCATGATCCGGATGTGGGCTTTGTCGCTGGGAATGTCCTGCCCGTATTCCTCCATGTAGCTGAGGACTTGCGTTAGGAAAAACCCCAAGTGTGTTGGCTCCCCTTTGAATTTCACCTCCAGCGGTGGACGTCTTGGAATGGATCGGTGCCTCCGTTATTGGTGGTAATGTCTTCCGTCCAGGTTGCCATCTGTGGTCCGGTAGGGGGTGGGTGCTACTGGATCAGTAGCCGTCCCCGGGGTTGCAGGTTCCACGTCCCCCTCGGTGTTTCTTCCTTTGCGGCTCCAGGAGCTGGGGCGGCCGTGGGGCTCAGGATTCTCCTCTCCTAGGGAGCTGAGAGTTCTCTTCATCAGGTCAATAGCTTTCTCTAGGATCCAGTCTGAGTATGGTGCCCAGCTTTCTCCCTCTTCATTTGCGTTCAGGGATTTCTCCATCTCCTGCTTCCATTTTGGTTGCTTGGCTCCCCGTCTCAGGGTCACCTTTCTTGATTTCTTTCCCCACTCACTTTTCTTTCCAATGCCCATTGACCAGCGAGGCTTGTGGTCCCGTGTCTCCACCACTTCTTCTCCTGAGGAATCTGACCTCTCGGATCCCAACATCTGGCAAGGTTCTAACTGGGTCAGCGGCTCTCTTTCCAGGGAGTTTTCCCCCTCTCTTGCTCCAGTGTCTGACATGGTAAATTTTTTGCAAAATCCCCTGGCAAGGGTCTCCCTTCCAGGTGGATTAATTTTGCAAGTCCTGTCTATTGTAAGGACCCACCCCACTTTGCATCTTAAGAAGACAGAACTCTTGGAATAATTCTTCCAACAGGAATCCTTTATTAAGAAGAAGTGGTTGCAGGCGTGCTAGACAGGACTTGGGGTCCAAGCTTTCCCATTCAAGGTTTTAAGGGGTTCCCCAGCAGTCCCACCCAATCACCCCCCCTTCCAGTGATAGTTTCATGCATCACAATTCCACCCCTTTGCTCCTTTCTTCCGTCTGGATGGAGACTTCAGATAAACTACATGAAAGGTAAATAGCCCTTTTGTTATGGTAAGGTTCTTTGGTGCTAACTACATTCTTTGAGATTGCAATAAACACATTCAAATCCTTAGAAGTATACTGAAGGAAGTGAGGGCCATAAAGCCCCTTTGTTCTCCCCCTTCTCTCCCTCTTATGGCAGAATCCAGAGAAGGCAGAATTGGGGTTTTCTATATTTGATGATTAAAGATGAAATATAATTGGATTCTGACAATTACACAATTTTAAATTTCTCTTTTCAGTCTAATTCTGGGTTTTCTCCTGAGCCAAGCAGGTTTCTATAAACACGCTTCCCTTTCAGTCAGTAGGCCTATTTTTGTTGCTTGTCTTTGAAGGAATCCCATCCTCTGCATAAATGTCTGTTTCTCTCTTCCTTAAAGTATCATTGCTTTGTAGTTTCAAATCTCAATCTTTGCTTCTTCTGTTCCTCAAAGTTACAAATGAGTGATTTATAAGGTAGGATGAGTTCCTCTTTTATCTCTGTTAATTCCTCTTCCAGTATATCTTGGTTTGTAAAATAGTCAGAAGTAGTCTGAGCATCCGTTTGAATGTTTGAAGTGAAATTTCTGGATCTTGGTTCTGTAATAGATTCTTTCAATATAGCACAAATTTCTGCAGTGGCCTCATGTATCTTTTCCAATATAAGATTATAGTTTAATTGGGATTTTGCATTTTTAATCTACCTAACAAGTTCTTCCCAAGGACATAAAATAGATGGATTTTGATGGAGTTAAATGTACTGTTGCATTATGTTCCAAGTAAAACTGCTTTTTGCAACTGGCTGATGGGGATTTTGTCAATGCTAATATTGTTGTTGTTGTTATTATTGCAATAATTTAAGTTAAAATATTTTTGTTCATATTAGAATTCCAAATCTCTTCCACCTTCCACATTTTGATATTTAGGAACTTTGTATTTAATAATGTACTGGTGGTACTCGAGTTACAAGTGTAATGGAGCCTGCCCATTACACTTGTAATTCAAAAACTGGTGGGAGTGAATCTCGTATCTTGAACAAGATCATTCATTCCCTTGCTCGTTAATACACACGCAGCTCGTTAAGTGAACATGAGGCATCTCATGATGAGGAAGACCATGGAAGGTCGGACTTACCTTGAAAAGATCTGTTTCCTCTCTGCTGCGTTCCTTCACCTGAGGCCGGGGGATGCTTCTGCAGACCTCCGGCAACCTGATCCAAGTTCCAGAAGCCTTCTCGAGAACACTACCATCTGGATCTGAGGCTGGGGAACACTTCCGTGGCCCTCCAGAGGCCTTATCTGGGTGCTGTAGGCCTTCTCCACGATGCTGCCACCCTGATCTGAGGCCAGGGGACACTTCCGCGACCCTCCGAAGGCCCGATCCAGGCTCCGGAGGCCTTCTCCAGGCTGCTGCCATCCTGATCTAAGGCTGGGGGACACTTTTGTGGCCCTCCGTGGCCTAATCCGGGCACCGGATGCTTTCTCTAGGCTGCCGCCGCCTGGATCTGAGGGTGTGGATGCTTCTGCAGCCCTCTGGAGGCCCAATCCAAGTGCTGGACGCCTTCTCCAGGCCGCTGCTACCCAGAAACAGGCCACCGGACAGCCGTAAAAGCATCCCCTGGCCTCAGTTCCAAATGGCAGCGGCCTGGAGAAGGCACCCAGTGCCCGGATCAGGCCACTGGAGGGCCACAAAAGCATCCCTGGGCCTCAGATCCGGGTGGCACCAGCTGGGAAAAGGCCTCTGGAGCCTGAATCAGGCCACCAGAGGACCATGGAAGCATCCCCCGGCCTCAGATCCAAGTGGCAGCGGTCTGTAAAAGGCCTCCAGCACCCAGATCAGGACACCAGAGGGGCACAGAAGCATCACTCAGCTTCGGTTCCATTCTCTTTTGCAGAGAACAGAGACCTAAAGTACCATGAGATCATGCAAGATCAGTAGCACTTATCTCGCGTGATCTTGTGTTACTTTAGGCCTCCATCCTCTGTGAATGCACCGAAGGCTTGGAGCAGCCAAGAAAGCGAAGGATTTCAATCTTCGCAAAATATTGAAGGCCTGGTGCCTAGGGAGACCCAGGGTAGGGGTGGAGAGGGAGGGAATAACCACAGTTGAATGTTGTAGTGCCACTGTGGTCACTCGTAAGGGCGAACTACTGCTGTGGCGTTGCAATATTTGTAATTTCGGGACTTGCTCGTAAGCACCAAGGGCGCTTATTGTATAACTTTGAACGAGCGTTAAGTGAATACTTGTAACTCGAGGATTATCTGTATTTCTGTCTTTTACAGATATTCATTAAATTATTTGAGTGGCGCATGATTGGCAGTTACAGAATTCTGAACTTTAGTGTAATGCAATTTTGGATTTATCAAGTAGCTTTCAATAAATCTACCCTTTTCTTATATAGCTCATTTTGCCAAGTCCTAAACTATGAGACAATAAATAATTGCCATTTGCATAGTTTTTTGTCTCGCTCCATAGCCAAGTCAATTAACCATTTTGGTTAATCTTCTCTTCACTGCAAAAAGTAAAGATTCAGAAATTTATTCAATATTCTAAATGGAATATTATTGCAAAATAAAGTACAATTGTAAGTGTTATCTCTGGTGTAACATTATGACCAACATTGAAAAAAAAATCATACCAAAATGCATTTGACAGTATAAACTGCACTGGGATCCTTATGATTAGCTGCCCAATGAAGTGGAATTCTGCCTTCAATGTCTGGGATTCCAATGTTAGAATCATGTTTGATAAGAATTTTCACGTGCTCTGGATTATTGTAATAGGCACTCCAGTGAAGAGCAGTTTGCTAAAAATAACAGTAGACACAAAGAATACTTTTTTAAAATCCAAAGTGAAATAAATTGCATCTGAAATCAACAATGTATTTGTAGTTATACTATTGTGCTTAAAGTGTTTGATTAGGACCAATGAAACCCAGGTTGAAGTTTCCAGTTTACTTTGGAATTTATTGGGTGATTCTGGGCAAGCTCTTAACATCTCATAAAGTTCCTGTTGTGAGGATAAATTGTGAAAATATAGATAGCTAGATAGCTAGATCTCCTTTGCTGTTAATTAAACCAAGTAACATATTAGAGAACCAGTCTATTGTAATAGTTAAGAAATTGGACTACTAGAAACTGGGAGACTAAGTTCTAGTTTTGCCATGGATATGAAATCATCTGGAATTACCTTGATCCATCACTTTCTCTTAGCCCCAGGAAGAAAGTAATGGCAAACCACTTCCAAAGGTCATACCAAGAAAGATGCCAGCAGTCAAATAACATACCAAACCTTGCAATGTGCAATCCAACCAAAAATGTCACAAGGTTTCAGGATTCACTAATATGCCTTGAGACTTGACAAGCTCACAAAATTTCAGCCATTAGTTCTTGTTAAAAGAACAGATAAAGTGTGCTATGAATCTACAAGCATTGTTTTTCCGACACTCAGTTGTACTCAAAAACTTTTAACAATTTTGCAGTGTATATAAAGGAGAAAGGTAGGAACCTGCTTCTCAGAGGAAAGGGAAAATATAAACTGAAAAAAAGATAATAAAAATAGTAACACTGAAATAGATTTCTTCAGGAAATTTGTAATTATTAAAAATAATAAATAAACTAAAATAATAGAAATACATTATTTAAAGATAATTATTTTCATAAATTTCAGAGCCTGAAAACAATTGGAGGTAAGTACTTAGTTAACAGAAAACAGCAAATTTCTGTTTAGCATCTGGCTATAGCTAATTGCACAACTATAATCTTCAGCTGTTTTATTGATATGCAGAAATGGAATGGAAAGTATTAATTCCTTGATTGCTAATATTTTTGCATTATTTGAGAAAAGATATAATTGATTCAGAACAATTCTGACTTGATTTCTCTAGAGATTCTAGATTTAGATTTATGATTCTTGATGTTAGATATATTTTTAATGTAAAAATGATCAAATGAATTCCATCAATTGAAATAGACCAGTTATTTTAAACTGTTTGCTCTGGTTAAAGCTTCTGAGAAAGCTTTGGTAGAATATTTTCAATAGATAGCTCTGTTTACCAAACATTTTTTTACCTTGTTCTTGTCCTGTGTATCTACTTCTCCTGGTGCCATATACTTTAGCAACAAAGCTAAGCACTTTGGACTCTTATGTTGAGTAGTTAGGTGTAAAGGAATGATTTCTTCCAAATCCTTCTTCATCCAGTTTGCTCTATGAGCAAGTAAAAGTTTCATAAAGCGATAATTGCCCTAGATAATTTAATACAAGAGACAAGGGAAAAGAGATAGAAGTTAAATTCAGCTAGATCGGGATGTCAAACTCAATTTCACTGAGGGCCTCATCAGTATTATGGTTGCCCTCAAAGGCCCAGATGGGCGTGGCTGGGTTGGGCAGCTGGTCACAGTCCAGTTACCGCGACTAGTTAGATGTGGCTGGGGAGGCATGGCCAGCTCAACTGGCTGGTTCGTTGCTGTTCACTCAGTGTGGCTGACTCAGTATGGCCAGGTGGACGTGGCTGGATAGGCGTGGTCAGGTAAGTGCAGCTGGCCCAGCTCCGCTGACTTGGGACAGCTGGGTCAGTAGGGAACAAGTTACACTGACTAACTCGACATGAGGACAATTTGGTGCCACACAACCTCGCCTTCCAAAATGCCGGCAGTCAAGCATGCACATGCACAACACACACACACTCCAAGTTTGGGGACTTTTATCCACAAAGGAAAGAGAGGTCCTTCTCAATAATAATGTCAACTTTAGAATGAGCATGGCTGCAGCCATTTTTTCCTTCTCCTAGGTATTGCGCTAGTCAAAACATACTTTCTCTCTTCAACTTTCTCTCATGGGAACCAAGGTCATCAGCTGCTCCCAAGACTGCAGGCTGGGCGTTTCATGAAAAGCCTGCCAACAAGCTGAATGGGGAAATTTGGTTGCTTGCATAGCTTTAGGGGTGGGATTTCTTAACTTTGTATTGGAGAATTGTTATGCATTTCTTCAGACTTGGTTTCACTTTTGAAATGCTGATATTCTGTATCAATAAACATGTACTTTGAAGAATTTGCAAGCCTCGGAGTTCTGCTTTATTTGTCTCTGTCGATCGGAATCATAACATTAAACCAAGTCTCATAAAACTTCGTTTCTTGGGGTGCTGGGCCCTGGCTGCCTACCCACTAACTTTGGGGAGAGTGGTAAAGACTCGGTGAAAACTTGAGATGGAGGAGAAAGTTGAAACTGTTGCTAGCAGCAATGGGACTCAGCTGTCGGAGTGTAAGTTGGTGCTCCAGACACCGAAGAGGTGTCACTGGCAGTGGCTCGGCCGAAAACCAGGTTGATCCAACCTGAGAAGCTGGTACCGCAGGAAGGAGCTACAGCCTTAGTGGACCTCTTTCAAGCCAAGGATGCCCCTCAGGACAGGAGCACTCCTGTCACCGCTGGAGAGGAGCTTTTATTGCTGTCGTCTCAGGGTTCTTCGTCTGCGGATGGAAAGAAAGGGCTCGATGGGATGGGACGATTCAGGGGAATGGAGATTTCAATCAGCAATCCACAGCTCCTCACTCAAACAGCTGAAGAAGAAGTTTGACTGGTTGGAGGTAAAAGATATAATTTCTATTGCCCAGGAGGTGGGTGCCGTGGGGAGAAATGCCAAAACCTATCCATCTCTCGCTCCCCCTTGCCAGAGTTCCAGCCCAACCGCTGGAGCCCACGCTGCTTCACCCATCCCCTCACCAGCTGCGATACTGAGTCCTGTACCCCAGCCAAGCCCACTTCCATGGCCTTGGTATGCCAGTCCTGGAGCCCAGCCAAGAGAAGTCCATTCGGCCATGTCCCCAGGACCAGCAAGTCACCCAGGATCAGCAGCAGGTGCAGGTGGCCCTACCAAGATTCGAGCCCCCAACAAGATTTCAATGGGGATCCTGAAAAGCTGACCTTCTTCTTAAATCAGGTGTGCACTCATTTGGACTGCTATGCATAAGCCTACCTGGATGGGGCTATGATGGTGAATACTGTGGCGGCAAATTTAGAGGGGGAAGCTGCTGACTGGGTGATCAACCTCCATGATAAGGGGGCTGCTGAATTGAACAACATTAATCTATTCATTGAGCAACTGAAGGGTCACTTTGAAGATGAGTCCTGAGTCCTGATGGCTGAGAAAGAAATCCACCGCCTGAGGCAGAGAGGTCGCCCTGCAAAGGAATACATCTGTGAATTCAGGAAAATTGTTAATCATTTGGGGCAGTGGCCTGAATGATCACTAATCAATTACTTCAAACAAGAGTTAGATCGTGACTTATTTCAAGCCTGCATCATTCAAGGTTTCCCTAATCTATTATGTGCATGTTACCATACAGCAGTGGAGCTAGACATCAAATTGGATTGTTCCAAAAAGTCAAACATCAATGAAGTCAAGCCATCGTGCGGCCAAGGGAAACGCCTCTATGGCCGACATCCTCAAGCTTCTGCAGCCACCAGCATCTCCCAAATGCCAACCAGGGTTCCCATCAAGTGCTACCGTTGTCCGAACGGGCTTGCCAGCGAAGGAATTTTGGACCCAGGGAACGGATGGAGGGGTGACTGCTGAAGGGCAAATCTTTGGGGAACAGGAGCAGGCAGTAGCCAGCTCTCCAAACCCAAAGCAACCCTAGGAACCAGCAAAAGAAGGGTGGATCGCATTTATGTGAGTTGCCATTAGCAGCTGATCTTCGAAGACAGAAAACAGCTGATTTTGAAAGCAAGCAACCATTGAAAGATAAAAAGGACACGTATAGAAAGTGGAAAGAGGGGCACATAACTAAGTCAGAATATCAGAGTCTGCAAAGATGAAGTGAGGAAAGCCAAGGCTCAAAATGAACTAAGGCTTGTGACCAAAGTCAAAAATAACAAAAAAAGCTTCTTTCAACATGTAAAAAATAAGAAAAAAGTGGAAATGATTGGTCCATTAGTGGGTGAAAGTGGCAAGAAGGTGACAAGCAACAGGGAGAAAGCAGAACTATTTAACTCATTTTTTTGCATCTGTCTTTACACAAAGGGAAGGGGCGTTGTCTTACCTGAACGCCTTTTCTCAGTACGGAGATGGAGAATCCACCAATGGGTTTTCACAGTCTGCCTGCTCTTGAGACCAAGTAGCCAAACTTGACACGCCCCCTCTTGCTAGGGATCCAGTCTTAACGAGGGCGAAGTGAGTGAAGGTGGAGGATGTGTTGGCTCTCAAACCCTTGAATTTGGCCTATCTGACCTAAAGGGTGGGTGTGGATTCTCCATCTCTGTACTGAGAAAAGGTGTTCAGGTAAGACAATGCCCCTTCTCCAGTACAGGAGACAGAGAATCCACCAATGGGACATACCAAAGTCTCACTGTCCCGTTGGGTGGGGAACAGAAAAGGCCGGATTTGGGTCTCCGGAGACCACTTGCTGTAGGACCCTCTGACCAAAGGAGGTGTCCGCAGAAGCGAAGCGGTCGATTCTATAATGACGTACAAACGGAGAAGGTGAGGACCATGTCACAGCCCTGCAAATCTCTTCGATGGACGCTTGGGTGGCCCATGCTGCAGAGGTAGCAGCACTGCGAGTAGAATGAGCAGTGAGATGACTTAGAGCCAGCCGGGAAGAAGCCTGGTACGCCTCCGCGATACAATTTCTGATCCACCTGCCAATGGTGCCAGAGGAAACTTTCTGCCCCAGGGAAGCCGGGCGAAAGGATACAAATAGGGCTTCAGACCAGCAAAATGGTTCCGTGCATTTGATATAATGGCGCAATGCCCTGCGGACATCCAGCATATGCCACTGCTGCTCCAAGTCATGAGAAGGGGTCGGACAAAAATTTGGTAGGATGACTTCCTGTGACCTGTGGAATAGTGAGTTTACCTTCAGAATAAAAGAAGGATCCAGACGTAGGACCACTCTGTCACTGTGGAAAATGCAGAGATCTTTCCTGACCGAAAGGGTGGCTAGATCAGAGATGCGCCTGGCTGATGTGATGGCGATTAGGAATGCCACCTTGAGAGACAGGTTTCTCAATGGGATGGTTACTAAAAACTCAAAGGATGGTCTTGTTAGAGCGTGAAGGATGCGCGGTAATTCTCAAGATGGGAACCTGTGAACCACCGGGGGCCTGGTATTACATGCTCCTTTGATGAAGGCGCGAATCCTGGGATGGTGAGCTAATGGAACGGAATCTACAAAAGTGAGTAGCATGGACAGGGCCACCATCTGTCTACGAATAGTAGCAGGGGCAAGGCCTCGGTCCAGCCCGTCCAGAAGATAGTCTACTATCTGGGGAATAGACAATTTAGAGATATCAAGCTGTCACCTTCGACACCAATTGCAAAAATTCTTCCAAGTAGAATCATAGATGCGATTGGTCGCCAGGCGGCAAGCAGCCTGGATTATGGTAATGGCGCATGGCGAAAATTCCTGTGTCATTATGCTGCGCTCAAGTGCCATCTGGTCAGTTGTAACCATTGGGGATCTGGATGACACAGGGTTCCCTGATGTAGGGACACACGATGAGGGAGGATTCTCCATGGGGGAGACTGGGACAGGTTCATCAGATTGGCGAACCATGGTCTCTGTGGCCAGTATGGGGCCACGAGAATCACTTCCGCCCCTCGAGCAGGAACTTGTGGATGGTCACCGGGATAAGCAGCAGGGGAGGAAAGGCGTAAAGGAGACCCTGTGGCCACTGAATCCATAAGGCGTCCGTCCCCTCCGCTGCTGGAAGGAAATAGTGGGAATAGAACCTGGGGAGTTGGGCATTGTCCGACGAGGCAAACAGGTCTATGATCGGGTGGCCGAACCTGTGGGATATTTCAGAGAACAGGTCCGGGTGTAACCCCTATTCCGAGGGATCCACCGTGGAGCGACTCAAAAAGTCTGCTTGCTGGTTGCTTACCCCCGAGATGTTCTGCCTTGATTGAGACCAGGCTAGACTCTACCCAGTTGAACAGGATCCATGCCTCGGTCATGAGTGATCTGGATCTGGTGGTCCCCTGACGGTTGATGTGTGCCTTGGCCGCCACGTTGTCCATAAGGACTAAAACGTGCCGGCCTTTGATTTTGTTCTTGAAATGGCGAAGGGCAAGGTGGATGGCCCGTAGCTCCAGCCAATTTATGTTGTTTCTCAAATCCCTGCTGGACCAGCGTCCCTGCGTGAAGTGAGATTGCAGATGGGTTCCCCAACCATATAGACTGGCGTCTGTCGTGATGGTGATGCGGTCCGATTCCTTGAAAGGTGACCCCTTGGTCACTGCCTGAGA